GTAGGGTGATGGTTGGACAGTGGTGGTGGTGGTAGAGTGGTGATGGGGTGGAGCTGACGATTGTGATGGTGATGACGGTAGTGAGGATGGTGGTGGTCAGGCGGTAGGGGATTGGTGGTGGTGGGGTGGCAACAATAGTAATGACGACAGTGGTGATAATAGGGGGCAGCGGTGGTTGTTGTGACAAAGATGGTGGTGGAGGTGACGATGGTAAGATGGTGGAGGAGGTGACGATGGTAAGATAGTGGCGGTGGAGGTGATGGAGGGGTGGCAATGGTGGTGGTGTTGGCAACGATGGTGATGGTAGAGGGTGGTATGGTGACGATAGCGATGATGGTGGTAAGGGACGAGAGGTGGTGGTAGTGGTGACGGTGGTGTAACACCCCGCATTTTCTTTTATATATGTATATAGATATATAGTAAATAATTGTGGTAAAAATGTGGATATGTGTAGTGATGTGTGTTTGAATTTGGAAGATTGAAAAAATAGAGATTTAAAATGTTAGTGAAAATAATAGTTGAAATTTAGTTTTAATAAGTGAAAATATGAAATTTTAGGTCCTAAAACTTGTATTAAATAGGTTTGGTGTAGAAATATGTGTTAGAGAGGTTTGAGATGAATTTGGTTGGCTTAGGAATGGATTGGAAATGGAAAAGGGATGAAACAGAACGTAAACAGTGCACGTGAACAGTGCACTGACTGCAACTTCAAGCGCGATTTCGACCTTGATGAAGTCAATATATCTTAAAACTCAAAAAATTAAAGTTGTAGATCTCTTTCTTATCATTCCATATCATCTTGATTCATCTCAATCGGAGCTCGTATGAGAGAGTTATGCCCAGATAACGAAGTGATATCAAAATAGCCCAATTAGCTTGAACCGTGCACTGGCTGCAACTTCAAGCCCGATTTAGACCTTGATGAAGTCAATATCTCTCAAAACTCAAAACATGAAAGTTTTAGAGATCTTTCTTATAATTCCATATCATCTTGAATCATCTCAATCGGAGCTCGGATGAGAGAGTTATGCCAGATAACGAAGCGATGTCAAAACAGTCCAATTAACTTCGTTTTGCATTTAACGTCTCTAATTGCATCCTAAATCAAAATATAAGAATAATGAGTACATTTAGACTTCAAATAAGTATAAAATGCTTTAAGAAGCACCCTTTATCATATTTTATTTACAAACAACGCAAAACTTCATTAATAGCCGGTTCGGATGAGTAAAATAGAAACTTTAGTGTTTTGAGTATACGTTGACTTTGATTTTGAGATAAATCATAAAAATAAATATTTTTAGGTTAAAATAACATTAAAAATGAATCCGAAACGTCGAAAAATCTTAGGGTAGTCATATGAATCAAATTAGAGATTTTTAGTGGCAAAATTATAATTTTGGAGAAAACCAAAACAGGCTGTGAATAGTAAATTTTGGGGCTGAGGTGTTTTAAACCCCATTTTCATCCCATTTTCCTTCATTTCTTTCACTCCACTCTCACATCACACCTATTGGAATCCTAGAGAGCATTAGAGAGGAAAAAAGGAAGGGAAAAACAAGAGATTTAAAGGTAGATTCAAGATCAAAACTTAAGTTCTTCCCACAAACTAAAGATTCAAGGTAGGAGTTTTCTCTCATTCACTTACATTGAGACTAGAGTATTTATATATGTATGTTTTGGCTATCAATGATATATATATATATGCTATGGAATCATCATCTCTTAAATTTTTTGCAAGAATTACATGTATTGAACAAAGTAGGGTTTAATATCCATGAAATTTTCTTTCTAGTTTTAAAACCCTAATTTTTGGAGAGTGATGTATTTCCTTCCTAAATGCTTTCTTTATTATGGGTTTCGAAACCTTAGTGCTTTGTGTTGGGTAGAAAAATAATGTTATTGTGATCTCATGTATTTTCGTAGTTGTTTGTGGAATTGTTATATGATATATTTTGGAGATTTTGGATAGATGCTTGTAAATTGAGATAAATATTGGAATTGTATGGTTAGTTGGGTTGTTTGTGATATACATGAGTGAGAGGTTCCTTGTAAGGGTGCTCACCCCTTCCCAAGAGGTTCCCGGTAGGAATGCTTGGGAAACAATGTAGTGATTGGTGAGATGTTTCATATAAGGATGCTCATCCATTCTCAAGAGGTTCCCAGTAAGGATGCTTGAGAATCAAATGTGACCTAAAGGGGGGTGGAGATTACCACAAAGTATGCCACCTATCGAAAGAATTGTTGGGAATTGGTTATGACAATTAATGGTTATTATTTGTATGTGGTGCTCGTTTATTCATTTAAGTAATATTTTTAAATAAACTTGAGATCTTTTTTAAATGTCACTGCTTTATTTCAAATTATGTGTCTATGTTATGTTAAAATTGAGACTGACCGTTTTAAATATTTTTCTAAACCTTGTATGGGTTTGGGAGAATTTTTATAGAGAGCTTCGTGCTCACCCCCTATCGCTAACATTTTTTAGATTATCCGCTTGAGGAGGAGAACGTAAGGGTCGAGGAGCCCGCTACTTGGGAGACTCCACTGGACGGGAGTGTGGATCCCGAGGTGGACGGATAGAGCGACCTCCTTTCCTTTGGTACTAGACTAAAACATTCTTTTGGAACATTGTGTAGTTTAGCTTCTTTTGTTTATTCCGCTGCGCTTCTTTAATTAATTTTTGAGATGTAATAGCCATGACTTGGGCTTATTCTTTTGGATAATGTTGTAAATATTTCGTGGATAACAAATGAAGTCTTGTTTCTTAAGAAATTATATTAGTGCTTTCATGATATGAATGATTTTAGAATATAATGCCATCTAGAGTGTGTTTTGGGCTATTACAGGTAGTGACATTAGTGGTGGTGGAGGGGGTGATGATAGTGGAGGTGGTAGTGATAATGGTGATGATGGTGGGGGAATAGTTTGGTGGTGGGGGGTGGGGTGACGATGGTGGTAATGGTGGTGGGGTAGTGGTGGTGGTAGTGGTGATGGTGGTGGGGCGATGGGGGTGGTTGGGGTGATTCCAAACACTCTTTTTTTTTAAGTATTTATGAAAAATTATAAGTATTAAAAACACTTTTAAAAAGTCACCCCAAACACACTCTTAAGAGCCTATTTTTCTTATTAAATTTAAAGTGTTAATATTAGCCATTAGATTAACTTTAAAGCAAAATTTAAAGCGATCTTAACCGCGAATAACAAAAATTATTTTGTTTATCTTTTAAAATTAAAATTGTAAACTATTTTATTATATAGACTAGTTATTGTCTGTGCTTGAAGACACAGAGTAATAAAAAAAGATAAACAATAAACATATTTGTATTCATATGCAAAATCAAATCACAAGCATAGAGGAGATATAAATGAATTGAAGCATCGGTTATAGTGGGGGTAAGAGATGGTGGGCGGCAGTGGTGGTGGTAAGAGACAGTGATAGTTGTGGTGAGTGACAATAACCATGGTGGCGGCGATGATGGCGACAGCGGCGACGACGGTGATAGCGGTGGCAACAACGACGACGATGGTGATAATGGTGGTGGCGTTTTGTTTATTTTTGAAATTTGAATTATAAACTACTTTATTATATAGACGTGTAATCACATGGTCTTATTTTCTTATTCTAAACAATGACCAGTGGAATTTTTCTCACCTGAGAAGGGTATCCATCATGGAGACCCTTCATATCTTCATTATTTGTGTAGAAGGACTATTGGCACAATTAAGAGTGGCGGAAAGGGCTGGGAGAATTAATGGAGTATCTGTTGGTAAAGGATGTCCAAAGATCTCCCACTTCCTGTTCGCAGATGATAGCCTACTTTTTCTAAGTGCTAAAACCCAGGAAGCTAGAGTAGTACAACAAATCCTCAAGGTTTATGAAGTTGGTTCAGGCCAAAAAATCAACACTAAGAAGTCAGTTATGGTGTACAGTAAAAACACCAACGCAGAACTGGGAAAACTACAAGAAATTTTGGGGGTTGAGCTGGTCCAATAGCACGACAATTACTTGGGATTACCTACAATTGTGGGGCAGTTGAAGAAGGATATTTTTAGCAATATCAGGGAAAAGGTATGGAGTAAAATGCAGGGTTGGAAGGGACAATTTCTTTCATCCGTTGGTAAAGAAGTGTTAATAAAAGTGGTATCACAATCTATTGCTACATATGTGATGAGGTGCTTTAAGTTCCCAGATTACCTGTGTATTAAATTGCTTCCAGCAGGTAAATGATGCACGAAGAACCTCATTACAGGTATGTACCTTGGCGTCGTGATTTCCTCCTAAAATTGGTTTTCTTAAGGTTAACTTCTGTGAGGTGGTGATTTCGGATGGCGATTGCGCTGGGGTTGGGCTGTAATAAATTAGAGACAACAATGGAATTTTGGTAGCTGGGATGACCAAGCAAATTATGTATGGTGAGCTGCTTATGAGCGTAGACATCACTGTTATGAAGCAAGTTATAAATTTTGCTCTACAAGAAAATACAACCTGTCATTCTTGAAGGGGATTCGATAAAGCTCTTGAAATATGTTAAGCATTGGAGGCAGAGGCATGGATGGGATCTTCAGTTTTGAATCTGGATGACATCTAGAATGAACTCCAAAGGCTTAGTCACCATGAAGTAGCAATGGTCCAAAGACATGGTAATAGAATAGTTTTTAATTTAGCTAAACACACGAGATTTATTGAGAGTTTTATCGTTTGGCAAGAAAGAGCTCCGGACTTTGTAATGCTGGGAAGGATTAAAAAAGGTTCACTTATTCCATCAAATTCGAGCATCTAAACAAGGCATAAGAGTGCAAAATATAATTTACCCTATGACATAAGAACAACTAGGAGGAGAGTAAATTAAGGATGAGGGTTACCTCATCCTTACCAAGATTCTTCTCTTTCCCCGCTCTCTACTAAAAGAAAATTTTCAAGAACCTAATCTTCTTGTTCAAAATTAAAAAAGAGATGAAAAATTGGAAAACAAAGTTTAGTACTTAGATTCATTTTTCTTTTTAATTTCATCATCTCTATGCTGTGTAAGAAAGGATTGGTCCATTACCTAGCTAGTCTAATTAGGCAAGGTCTACAAGGAGCTCTTATCACTGCACAAAATTTGTGCAAATATCATGCATAAACAACTTTAATTTTAGAATAGAAGCCGCCCATCTTGTCTTCACAGTATTCAGCAGACTAGTGCTTACCAAAACTAAAAGCAAAATACAGGGAGAAACAATTAATATATGCGTGATTGAGAACGTCTCGAGTTTATGTTACAATCATTAATCTTATAGACACATGATTGAACAATTCTCGGCCCGTGGGAACTCGTCGACTGGACCGGTCAGTGCTGCGATCTTATTGGGATTGTTGCGTCTGTGGATTCATTTGATCAGCAAGCTGCACATTACCTTGATTCTCCTCCATGTTGATGAACTCATGGACCAGAGCTTCACCAATTTTAACAGCCATTTTAGCGTTGGTCCCCATTCCATGAGTCGTGCCATTAGGTCCATTGGCTCCTCCATTTTGCCCTGAACATGAAACATTTAGCAATTAGCAATTGAAATGTTCAGACGCAAGGCTAACATTCAAGGATTGACTAGTTTTCGATATATACTTAAAACAATACGACTCGCACCTGAAATAATAGTTTACCTCCTTGTACTAAAGGGTTTTAATATATAGGAAAACAGTGGAGGCCAGGGTTGAGATAGTTGAAATTGTTGGACAGTTGACTTCTAAGAAACAAAGTCATCTTATCCTTTATATGAATAGGTATACCATAAAATTGAGATGGAGGTCACAAATTATTTTTTTTCCCAGTAATTCAATGATTCCCATGTAATATGGTATGTTTTTCCACTCATAAACCGAATTAATGCCGGATCTTGGATAAAGTTGCCTCCCCACACAAAATGGGTAAATTTAAGGGCGGTAGCCTCATTGGCATGTACTCATAGGATAGTCATAAACCATTAGTTACACTTAGAAGAAAATGCTTATCAAGTGGCTGAGTTATCACTAGTAGTTGCACTCTTTGAGATTGAGGTAAAATAAATGTTTTTTTTTTATTGGTTCAACGGTCAGAGGTGTTCGGGCCAACTTATACGCATCTCAGTTAATCTTCTCCTCAGTTCGTTAAAGACGGACCATTTACGTCGGGACTAGAGTATTCATAAGAAATAAATCTCTCATAGTGTGGGTCCAAGAGATTGACAAGATTCAAATTCAGAGCGTTTTAGTTTACCGTTCATCCCTATTACAATTTGAATTACCTTGAGTTTAATAAATGTTGAAGCTAAGAGATCTAAGTAAGGCAAAGATGAATGCTTACTGACCTGGACCCATTGCGGCCACAGCTGCTGTTTTTCTCTTATGGTGCAATATGGCCAAAACACCAACAATAGCCCAGAAAACAAAGAAGGTTGGGATTGTGCTGCCAAGTATTACTGGTAGATTGCTGCTCTTCTTCCCGCCTGAATTGCGAGTCACCGGACTCCCAGCTAAATCCGGTGTGTTCGCCGTCTGGCACGACGTACCCGATGTGCACAAGCTAGGATTACCCGTCACTCTGCGATTCAAAAATCAAGAAAAAAATTCTATTACCTTTCAAATTTTTTTCCAAGGCGGAAAAATAAAAGAGAAATTCATATATTACATTAATTTCAGATTGTTATTTTTCGACAGTGAAGTGGGTATTGATCCACTGAACTGGTTATCTGCCAAATTCCTGGAAAAAAGCAAAAACCAAGATGAAAATTTTGTGAATTTCCTTAAGATTAAAATAAAGGTACTAATGCAAATCACAGACAACTTTCTATATATAGTATTATACACTCACAGTTCTTGTAGCTTAGGTAAGGTGCCAAGAAAATCAGGAATAGGTCCATCTAAACTGTTATTATGCAAATCTCTGCAATTCAAAACCAAAAGGTCAAGAAAAAAAAAGATTCATCAGATTCACATTATATACATGTAAAATGTCATTTTCTCCTTGCTATTAACTCACAATATCTCAAGAGCATCCATGGAGCTCAAATCCGGAAGCGCCCCGGACAAACCGAAGCCACTAAGATACCTAAATTAATTTGTAAAAAGTGTAAGTACAGTTACGAAAAAAGAGAAATGTTATTTAGACTTAAAATGTGGACTTAAAATAGAGAAAAAAAAAAGCAAATTAATGTTCGTGATCAAGTGATGAAAGAGGATTTTACATCGCGGTAACACGGGGCGTGGCATCGGTGCTACAATTGATCCAGTCCCAGGAATAGGGTGCAGGAAGGCAAGGGTCACCACCCCAATCTTGTAACACAACAAACAGGTTTTGCAGTGCTACTAAGCCTTCAACTATATAAGCGAAAAAAACAAGAAGCAAAAGAGACATAGATTAGTCTATAATCACAGTATTCATAAAAGATTGAATAAATTACACAAATAGTCCTTAAACTATGATCAATGTGTCAATTAACTCCCTGAACTAATTTTTGTGACAATTAAGCCTCTAAATTCCAAAATTTAGCATTTAAGCTCTTCTGTCAGCTTCCGTTTAGAATTTTTGGATGAAATGTCTCAAATGCTCACTACATGGACAATAAATTAAGGGTATTTTAGACTATTTATGCGAAACCTATTAACCGAAGAACCCCATGCCTTGTACCCATCAACCGAAATTCTAAATCTAATCTTCTTCATACTCATTAAATGAAGCAGATTAAAAAACTTTTCGAAGAGCTTACATTTATGTAATCTCTTTTCTACACCATCAAATAGCTTGCTAATCGGTTTTGTTTGATGGAAGGGTTTTGATTGATGGGTATAAGAAATGAGATTCTTCATCTAATAGGTTCCAAACGAACATTATGAAATACCCATAATTTATAGTCTATGTGGTGAGCACGTGAAAACTTTAGTCCAAAAGCCTAATGGTTTTTGGCAAAAAATTTAGAATTTAGAAGCTCAATTGACACAAAAGCTAGTTCATAGACTTAATTGCTAAAATTTTAGAGTTTAGGGATTTAACAGACATGAAAATTAGTTCAAGAACTTAATTGACACAAGGGTCAGTCATTTATATAATTTATTCTAAAAGAAAAGTGGGTAAATCAAGATATATAATCACAAATTTTTTTTCAAAAGAATAGGAACTTAATACGAACCATCTTTGCTATTAGTCCCATTGGTTAATACGCCGCTAATGTAAAATAATTCAATGGCGTTGATGAGAGGAGGAAGTGTCGAATCAGGAGTAGGCACCAAGAAAAATGTAGTGTTTGCTGTGACAGTGAAGTTACTAGCAGACATTTCGGATACGTTTCCATAAGGTGGTATAATAGGGTCTGAGAAAGACTCGTTGCCTTTGAAAACCTTAAAGGATCTCTTTTGAGTCTGGTCGAGTTGAGTCACCTCCGAAAAGTACATATTCAGGTAGGCCGGAACTGCAACCGGAGGTGATCCGGCGCCCAAGACGATATACTCAGATGTGTTTGATGTGGTGATGGCGTTTTGTAGTACTTGTTGTGGAGGGCTATCTTCTACATTAACATTAATAAACATTGCATCACTTGTGACCTGGATTAATCCATTACCAGCCACTCCTGGAACCCAAATTCGGTCATAAATGTCATCCACATACCTGAAATCCATGGAGGTTGATTTTGAAATTATAAAGATTGAAAGAAGACTGCATGTATAATAGATGAAATTGGTTAACCTGCACCATGGACTAGTTTACTTGACCCTTTTCTGAATCAAGATCAGAAAATTCTATGAATTACTAATAGAACGTCGTACACATACCTATTCCCGTTATGTATATATATTTGGTGTGGGGGAGAGGAGAGAGAGAAAGGGAACTTGAATCCTTAATCTCAAAAAAATAAAACTTTCACAACCGTTACATGTAGCCATGCATAGAGATTTTCATTGAATCAAACTCTCTGAGCTTGAGTATGTCAAATCTAGTTTGGTTATGACTAAATCATGAATTGAGCTTGAGCTGAATTTAGATTTTTTATTTTATAAAGTTCAAATTGATAGAAGTTTACGAGCATTCAATTAGGCAATTTCGGGTTCAATTTCTCGTAAAAAAACTTAAAAAATTAGCTTAAAACTTGATAGTCAACTCTAAAATAATCAAATTCTCAAATAAGAATTTCTTAAAATCTATATAATATTCAATCATAAAATTGAATCTTATAAGTAAATTTCTAAAAAACATACTAGAGAAAAAGAGAGAAGGAGTATACAAAACTTGTAACTATTTGGGGATAAGTTTGTGATCGCTCATCTTTCAAAATAAGGCTTGTTTAATGATAAAATTAAAAATTTATTTATATAAAGGATTTTATGTAAAGCCGAGCTGAGCCAACTATATCCAACCACATCTAGCTTGATTAAAGAACTTGTTTAAAATTTTGATAACATTTAGATTACTTGACAAATTCAATGAAATTGTTTAACATAAGACTTGAATCAAGCTCGAGTTGAGATCGAGCTACTCCAATCATTTAACAAGTCAAGTTGAGATTGCAAGAGCCATGGGAGAAAAAAAATCAAACCAGAAAGACAGATGTCTTACCTGATAGTAGCATTTGCACCATAAGCAAGCCTAAGCCTCAAAAACAAGGCGTAGTTCGAGTCAACACCGCTATACATATTGGAGCCCAAGCTACGTACTTCAAGCGCAGAAATAAATGGTAGCTGACCAGCCTTTGTTTGAGCAACACAAACGCTCAAAACATCCCCTTTCACAACATACACCACCTCATAACTCGAAACTTCAGTGCTCGAAGTCTCGACCGAGGCCCAATCGTTCCCATCGAACTGAAGATTGAAGGTCGGAGGTGACGATTTTCCGTCGTAGTTTCCATAGAAAAAGCTTGCCCGGATCAGCACTTGCCCGCCCTTATCGGCTTGTACAGAGTAACAGTTCTTTTTCCTGGTGGTGAACACTCTGAGTGTGTCCATGACATGAGATATTGAGTTGTTGGATTGCACCACCTGAGCATGTTATAAAATTTTCTGTTTTTGTATCAAATTTTTTTATTTGTTTATATATCAGCTACAAATATTAAGATCAAGAACATGAAAAAAAAATATCTATTATAATTTATACGCAAACTGGCAGAGTCAATGATTCGAATTAGACTTCAATAGCATTGCTCGTATTATTTTACTTGAGAAACTCCATTTTGCATGATGGTTGAGTCTCCCATCCATGCTATTGAGTTTTCGTCGGTGTAAAAACCAGATGCTCCGCAATCAATGCTTACAAACACTGTAAAATCATTGAAAAAAAATTGGAATTAGATAGTGAAGAAGAATCACAGAGGAATAACGAAGAGAGAGAGAGAGAGATTGAAAATGGTGTAGGATTTGTGGATGGATGAGAGTTATTACCGTCGGCTGATACTGATAAAAGAGAAAGACATAGAACAAGTAAGAAGAAATGGTTAGCCATATGGGGGTAGTAGTAAAGAGATGGAGGAGTTCAGAAGATTATGAGATTTGGAGGTTCATTTATGAAGGGATGTTCTTGGCATTGACTTGAGACTTTTGGTTTTGTTTGGTAATGACAGAACGTAACTACGTAAGTGACAAGGTTTTCACGTGATGGTGTTTTTTGGTGAATATTTTATTTCCATTTAGTTCTTCTTCGCATTGTTTTTCAATTATTCTTTTCGGATTACAAAAACCTGTTACATCCACGCGTTTTTAGACAATCTTTCACGATCAGTCTTCTCGACATAAACCAATGGCATAATAACAATCAGTAAATTACGGTACAAAGAGAAAATTTCCCTAACTCCAATTTTTATTATTTTAATAGGTGTTTTTATGACTTTTATGGGTTATTTTACAATTTTTTTTCAAATTTGTGAGTGTTTTTATTATTATTGTTGGTGTTTTTACCATATTTATGGTAATTAATTATACTACTTTTTTCGATACAAAAAAAATTATCATTGTTGTGAATGATTTATCACATTTGTGGGTATTTTTAACACTGTTATAGTAATTATTTTTAATATTACAACAGTGATAAAAATACCCACAAATATAATAAAATAACCACAAATATGATAAATAGAAAGATGATACTAATATATATATATATATATATATATATATATATATATATATAATACCATAATCAAACTGCAAACTAGAGGGGCTCAATTGAATAGATTGATTAACATGAACTAGATTCAATCAAATTAAATTGTAACTCAAATGAAACAAGTTAGGATAATCTAGTGAGATTGATCACAATTTTTTGAACTATATCAAGTCATAACCTCATTTTACTTGTTTGTAACTCGTTCTACATTTTTGGGTACACGCACAAATCGGTACGATAAATTTTAATTGGATTAGATTTTCAAGTTCTTTCGATAAGGTGATGTACAAAGGCAACGTACGTATCATTATTGTAATTTTTTTTTTATCACCAATTTATGGAGTCAACGAGGCGTGAGCAATCAAAATTGTGTAAGCTAACGTAGAAGACAATGGGTTGAAGAAGTCAAAATCTGCCAAATCAGTGTAAGAATTACGATGAAAGGGTAGACTTTTGGTGAGCTAAGTCAGTCAACGTCCCATATGATCATTTCATTGATTAAGATTTAACAGCTATGCTGATATATTTTCTTCGTAATGTGACTACTAGTGGT